TCCTTTCACTGCAGCTCCTAACAGAGAGTCGCTCTCCGGGGAGTCAGTTTAGCTGATTACTTCACTCATCAGACTTAATAGTTGTTCTCATTATTCTAGCTGGGTGCCTGGTTTTAGCCTCCCCCTCCCCTAGAAGTTAAGCTTGTGTTGTTCTGCAAGTTGGCTCCTAGTTGAGTGTGTTCTTTTTCTCCTTCAACCTACAGACCAGCTGTAAGTGAATTCTGATAAGCAATGCATGTTTCAAGTGCAGTGAGTTGCTCTTTGTTTTAGTGGAGTGTTGGCTGGGCAGTGAAGTGTAATGAATCCAGTGAAGGAAAATAAGGGAGCTGTTCTAAACTATCAGTTCCTTCTGTGCTTGTCGGGCAGCGTATCCAAACCAGCTCTGTTTGTGCTGCCTCTCACCTGGTCTGATGAGTAGGCAGTAACAATGTAGGACAGAAACCTGTAGGAAACTAGGAGCTTTTAACTTCAGAAATCATGAAACAACTTGCTTTCTGGGAGCTGTTGTTCTGTTATTTTTAACCATCAGAAGTGTTTTATGTGTGATGTTTACCAAGAGGGCTGTGGTGCTAATTCTGTCACCATGATTGAACACCAATATGTGTTTTGGAAGCTGAGGCATCTTTGCTGTCCAGGCACTGGATCGAGCATCATCTGACAGTGTTGTGTAACTGTAAACAGTGTAACCACCATTTATAATGCCAAATAGTTTTGTATATATATCATAAATCAATTGTGGTCTAGTTGCTAAACTTCCTGGTGGTATTATAACAAAAAAACCCAACCTATTTTAGGAATAACATGGAATTATTCTTTCTTAGCCTGAAGCTACAGCATTAGCTCATGGGAGTCCCTTGAATTTAAGCATATATCCTTCTAAAACTTTAATGTTAAATGTGTTTAAGAATAATTTGAAGTGTAAGGATAGATGCAGCAGAGTTTTATAGGCAAAACAGGCTTGTTTGTATTTCTAACGGTTTAGCTTTATGCTCTAATACTTTGGTCTCTTTGGTGAGGGTAGCAGCAAGGTTGACTTATGTCACTCACAACATACCAAATAGGCTCTAAGTGTGAGAGTATCTTGCATCTGCCTTTCCTCATATTTGTCTCCACGCATGCAATTAGCTGGCTTGACTCCTGAGGGGAGATCAGAATTCCCTAAACTTGTCCTGTACAGAAACTGAACAGGTTAATGTTGATGTGGTAACTCAGACTAGCACTTTCTTCAGGAGCAGGAAGTGTGTTAAATGTCAGGTAGTTGTTTTTGAACTTCAGCAGAGAGGCACCGTGATGATTAGCCCACGTGAGATGAGTCTTCTGTGTTTTGCAGTTGGTTAAAGAGTAATTCATACTGCAGAGGTGGACCGTGTAAACAAGAGTCTGTTGTAACTGATCCTCAGTAAATACACGTCATGAATAACATGATTCAGTGTCCCCTTAAAATATTTTACCTAGGAGTAATATGACACAAGCAGTTGGTTGAAAGCTTCATTTCTAGAGTCTGTAACTTTCCAGCGAACCTTGGGAGTGCTTAATGAAAGCATTGTTACTTTTTACACATGAAAATATAGTTTGGCCTGCCAAAATACAAGGCAAGTATAGTTCCCCTGTTAAAATGGTGTGTGCTGAAAGCCTGAAATGTGTTCATTTTTTAAGGTGCCTCCGTGTTTGAATCTGGAAGTGACATGCTGGAAATGTGAATGGTTTGCTCTTTGCTAATTATTAGATTTCAGAAAGCATTGGCTATTTATAAAACTGCCTCTGCATCTGTTTTTACCTTCCTTTGGATAGAGGTGAGGGACGATGGGCTCTGCATTTGGTGCTCACCTTGTATTTTATGTAGTTCTGCAAAGCCATCCCAGTGTTGGAGGGATGCTGAATTTGCCCAAGTACTGTTACATAGTGCTCTTGCTGACTTATTTCATGATAATAATTTGCTGTTGACAAAAGGTTTCCTCCAGGAGCATGGGCACTCAGACTGTCCTTTCTTTTCCTTGTTTTTAACCTGTGCTCCGGTTTCATAGAGTTAACATAAGGCTAGAAATCTTTTTCAGCTTCTACAAATTCAATACAAGTGCCTGGAAAGAGCTGTTAGGAACTCATGTCCTGATTGAAGGAAACATTGGAGTTTGTTCTCATTTTTTGTTGGTAAAACATGCAGTGGTGGAAGATCAAAAACTTAACTTCAGGAAAAGCTTTACTGAGAACATCTTCCTCTGCAGACCTCAGCTCGTTCTGTGGAAGGAAGAGTTTGATGATGGAGAAAATACTAATCATGTATGATTCCACAGGACACTATAAATCCACAGAGGGAGGGAGGACATGTCCCTGAAGTTCTTAAATCTTGAAAACATATGCACTGAATGTTTCAGGGACATTTTGGCATACTAATCTAGAAAGGATGTGCTTCCAGGCTTTAGTTCCTGTCCCACTCGAGACTTCTCTTTGGAAGTTGCCAAAGTACAGGAAGGTGTATTTCTGCATATGAATGCTACAAAGTTTGCAGTGTGACATGTGCCCTGTTATTCATATAATTTCTTGTCTAAAGGGAAGATGTGGCAGTAGTTTTCCATCACAGCTGAGGTATCAATGGAGAAGTTAGTGCCTTGTGCTTAACGCTGTTTCTCATCCTTTTTACAGCATCTGTGGGAGTGGAGATGCCTACAAGAAATACTTCTAAAAGTGAGAATGAAACACTAAGTAGATCCCAAAATTTGACAGAGAGCTTGCAGAGTGTAACTCCAGTGAAGAAAGCCACATTCCCAACAACAGCCAGAATCAGTTTGGAGACTGCAGGAAAGTCGTTCACAGCAAAAGGCGACTCTTCGTCGCCTGTTCTCTCTCACCTGGCCAGTCCCAGTCCAGCATCTCAAACAGATGTTGATGCTTCTGCAAACACTAAAATCGAGGAAGAGGATCTTCTAACGGGTTTGAAAGATACACTAAATAGCTCACCACCCATCATAAAAGAAACTATGGAGTCAGATGGAGGAGATGACTATAGCCCTTACGAAATGACACCTAATTCCAGATACAACCCAGACCTTCTGGAGATGCCAGAAGATGATGACTCTGACACCATCAGTAATTACAACGAGGAGATCAAGACACTTGATGAGAAGATAAAAAGTGTTTCTGTCTCAGGGTTGGAAGAAGAAGAAGACAGCCATTTCTTTTTTCATCTGGTCATAGTTGCCTTCTTAGTAGCTGTTGTTTATGTCACCTATCACAACAAGAGGAAGGTAGGTGTGCTCTGAAAGGTTGAGAGGAGCAGCTAGAGTATTTAAAATGAAGTTGCATTGCCTTGTATGCTTTTTTAATAAGAGGAACTTAGGTTTTTGGAGAATGAAATATTTGACCACTTAGTCTTCTGGTGATATTAATATGCATATCATTATTTTATTTTTTTTCTGCACAATGAAAATGACCTTGAACTAAACATTTTCAATTAGAAAATCAGTTAATTGATAACATCAGTAATCAGTCAGTTCAGTAATGGACACTGGCATTGCACAATACAAATTTTGTAAATGAGACCTGAGCCAGTCGAGTGTTTCTACACAGGACTATAAATGGCAACTTAAGGAAGGTTTAATCCCAAATGGTGTGGGAATGTTCTTGTTATGACTGTGATGATCCTTCTTATAATTGTTCACTTTAAGGTGGTCTTTATATCATAGATATTCTGAGGACTTAACTATAAACTCTTAGAAAATGTTTAACACTTTACAGTTTTACATAGAGAAGCTCAAAGTTGCTATTTTCAGGTAACTGTTTCTGCAGTACAAACTAATTCTCTGTGTCTCAAAAGGAGCCTGATTGGTGTTATTTCAAAATATATTGCTAGCATCAAAAATTAACTCCAGCCCAACCAGATCCAGTGCAGGTGCATGCACAAATTTGCAACTAAACCATAGGTTAGTTTTTAGATACAAGTTAAATTTAGTGTTTATGCTTGTGGAGAACACTGATTTGAGCAAGAATCTGGGGGACTGAAAAGAACGTAGCAAAAAACCCCAAACCTTCTGGTTTACTGTGCAATGGCATATCTGGAATGTGCATTGTCAAGTCTTCAGAGGGGAAAATGTTGAGAACTGTTGCATTTGAAAATTTCACTTAGAGAGAAGTTCGAATAAATGATAAGAAATACTTAGCTATGTAAGTGAAATAATAGTTGTAGTATAATTTGTATAATTTTTGCTGTTCAGCACTTAGGGATACATTTGGGAACAAAAAATATGCTTGTACTCGAAGTACAGAGGTAGTGGCATGTATCTGTGTGAGGCAGCAGTCAAGCTGGGTTAGGTTCTCCTTTCCCTGTGCCTACTTACACTGTCCCCTCTCCCCTTTGCCCTAATCATTGCCCTGTCCAGTAAAGTGGATTCTTAGCTGAGTTGGTGAAACCCAAGGCTGAACAGAGTGACCATAACAGACATTTAAAAGTCTGATTGCTTGAGTGCTTTGATTTATCATCCACCCCTTTAACTGCTCTGCTCTAATGCAGAAACAGTTTATCAAATTACACCATTGCTGCTTCTGTTGCCTTTGTTTCAGTACCAGTAATACAATTATTTTTAACAAGGGTGAAACGCCAGGAGAGATAAGATGGATAAATTAACAAATGTCACCATCTGGAGATGGTTTAATAGGCTGTCTATGCAGTACTTAGAAAGCTACACACATAGCTTTAAGAATTCTGGGTTAAATGCAGTATTTTTGCCAAACTGCAGCTGAGGTTGCCAGTAAGTGACTGGTTGGCAAGGGCAGGATGGAAACGGCTGAGCAACAGTAACACCATTGCCAACATCAGGGGAACAGCCATGATGTCAGAAGACTCTGAAGCTGTCAAACTCAAAATGTTTCTGCATAGCCTTTATGAGTTGTCTGCTTTTTCTTTCAGATCTTCTTGCTGGTGCAGAGCCGAAGGTGGAGGGATGGTCTGTGCTCTAGGACAGTGGAGTATCATCGTTTAGATCAAAACGTTAACGAAGCGATGCCTTCCCTGAAAATAACGAATGACTATGTATTTTGAAAGCACTGTGATTTGAGTTTGCTGAACTTATCACTCTTTGCCTGCCCAGTCATGTAATGATATTCAGGTATTCTAAATAAGCTGCTTGTACGGAAATGAGATGTACTCTCTTTGATGTGGATGTTTTGGAGAATAAATCTCATGGGTACGGAAATGAGATGTACTCTCTTTGACCTGGATGTTTTGGAGAATAAATCTCATGAAAGATCCAAGGGCATGATACATCTGTTTGCTACTTTGGTCAGGTTTTATATCAACTGTAAAGATACAGAGTTTAATAATTAGTGCTCTTTCCATTCATTAAGCATCATCCCTTCTGTCTGGAGCAGTCTTAATACTTGTATTAGGAAAATATAAGCATAAAATATTTTAGGTCTAATAAATTAATGACTTTGGCATCACTAAATCAAATTAATCTCTTTGCTAATCACTTATATGGTTCATAAGTTGCACTATATTGCAAACTTAAAATATAATTATTTTATCGATGCTTAAATCCTGATGCTGCAAGTCTTTCATCTTGTTTTTTTTCTGATTCTGTTTTGTTGTATAATTTGATCCTATTTTAGGCAAAATAGCTAGAATGGCAATTTAATAATTTCTGTATGTGTTCATGCAGTAAGTGATTCTAAAATAATTATAACCCATTTTATTTCAGAGGTTTTAGACCATTTGTTTCCTTAAAATGTTCAAGGTGTTGGTGAAGCCATGCAGCTTCCTGGCTATCCAGTTTTCCTCTAATGTTATTTATGATTATTTCATTGTCTTTGTAATTAATGAATGGAAAATAAGTCTTGTAGAATAATCTTACAAAAATAGAGTTGAGAGGCTTTCAGTACATCAGAGCTTTCCATTGAAGTTTAAGACAGTTGGGAAATGATTATGTGGTTTGTTATAGTATAAATGAGAAAGGCCTGAAACTGTAAGAGTAATTTATTTGGTTCTTCTGACCCAGGTAACAGCAGGTGAAAGGAAAGGTGTAGGGGCTGCCAGTCTGTGGACAGTGCACTCATTTTTGGCAAACATTTATGCATTAGTGTAAATCAGGTTACTGGTACAGTAGTTTTTTGGGTTGGGGTTTGGGTTTTTTTTTTTTACTTTGTCTTTTGTACTTCCATTATTTATGTTTTCATGAGTTGTAAAATATGACATTTTAGTTTTCTGTACATGCTGTTTGTGATTTAGTTTTCAAACTGATAAATATGTAAATAATGGTGAATCAGAACCCCCTAATTAATGACTTGGTATTCAAGTAGTTATGTAAGGTTTGGAAAAAAATCAGCTTCACAGCTGTTGGCATGAGGAGCCTGAAGGCATGATACTATTTTACGAATGAAGTGCTAAAAGTTCTAAGTCCTGCTGTTAAATGAGTTCTTTTCATAACTATGAGAAGTAAAGCACAAACAAAATATCCCCAAACTCTTTTCTTGCAGTAATTTTTATTGTATTTGGACTTGTATCACTTAATATTTTGAATAAGGTTTTTAAAATAAATGGCAATAATAAGCTTGTGGTTTTTATCTTAACTGTTTCACTGCTTTTATACTGTACCTCATGACAGAGAATTTGCTTATGCTTGGAGTTGGAAACCAGCTCAAATCCATTTTTTCTGTTACCCGTGCTGGGTGTATGAAGATTTGTTTTAGGCATCTGTTAAATGGTGTGCAGGGTAGACAGCAAGGCTGAAATGAAATCTTTTAAGCTATAGGAATTAATAAGTTCTTTCACATGCAATTTTTGCACCTAAGTTGTATAATTAATAATTCTAGTGGAAGATACTTGAAATTCTTAGCTGGACATACCTGCATTAAAGCATAGCACTGCTGTGGTCAAGGTCCAAAGGGAAAGGTGACTGCAAAGCTTCTTTAGGATGTTTAAATATTGAAATTTGAGGAGGTGACTAATGGTTTTTGCACCCAAGAAGTTCAGTAGCTTTCTCCTTAAATAACATTCATGAACTACAGTGATTTTCACAGTAGGAAATAGCACATCCATACTTGACAGAAGTTTGTGTTCCTTTCAGCTTGGTACCACAGGCCTTACACAGAACCTGGAATGAAGAACTGAAGAGCTCAACTGCAGAAGTACAGTGATATCCACGTGAAAAGCTTCATTTAAAGCATCATTTTCTCTTTGGCCACTCAGTGAATTCAGCCATTGAGACATGTTACATTTTCAGCCATTTCTCTGACTGTAATAGCTGGAACACTGTAAAAAAACCACAGAAAATTAGCATCAACTTAAATTAGCAGAAATAAGGCATATTCTGTTGGTTTCTGAAGTTCATGTATGTGTTATATTTCACCTTGGCTGTCTTCCAAAGCTCTTATACAGTTCAACTGCCAGAATCAAACCAATCTAAATGTTTTCCTTCCAGGCTTTCTAAATGAATAACAATGTCCTCTTTAGACGATATGTTAATATGTTGGTGGAAGAATCTGGCATTTCCTTGCCCTCCTTCCCTCAGACTGTTTGTCCTAATGAAAAGGCTGTCTGTAGGGAGAGAAACTTATTAGCTCTCCAGCTTTCAGCTATTTCTTCTGACAAACCCACCGACTCCTGGAGGAGGAATGCACACTGCTAATGGCAAGATTGCTTTCTGTGAGCTTTTTTGGGAAAGCTGTCAAAGGCCTAACATCAGCTCAGTAACGAAACCAGGTTGTTTTGCAGTCACCACGTTTTAAAATGGTCTTTGGTTTAGCTGTGCCATGACAATACCTGTCCCACAGAGGGAGTGTTCATTGTCCCTCATGGTGTTTAGGCCTGATGACCTGCAGCTCACTTGGGCTGAACTGCAGCTGTTAATCAATCCTCTGCTGTCCATGTAGCTGTCTGCTCTGAAAATGCTCTGACATGAGGTTACCTTAGAGGGGAAAATCATCCTATGAGCCTTTTGCTTGTGGTAGTTGTATCAGTCCTGAAACCTTTTGAGTTGGGTAGCTGATACCTGAGGTCATGAGATGATAGTTGTGCACATGTGTCTTCTCTAGCAGAGTGCAGCTGTGCCTCACTCCAAGGATTTCAAGCACTTAAGATGGGCAGTTACTCTTTTCTTGCTCTACTATTGTGCACATCCTTGACCTCCCATGTAAGAAAAACTTTTAATATACAATTTATTTCAAAAAATGAGGCTCTTCACTAATGGTACTAAGGGCAGCTTATTAGAATGTTTTTAAATTCACAGGGAATACGGATTTGAAACACTCCAAGTTCTTTAAACAGCGGGTTTCATTTGGGGAATAATCTAAATGGATTCTTTTGTAGGATAGGAATTTATTTTAAGTATTTGGGGTGAGTCTTGCTCCATCAGTTTGACAGTGATGGGAGCAAGTTGCCCCAAGAGATAGTTTGGTCATACCAAACTTTGTGGATGCATCACAGCAAATGAATTTAGATCATGTTTGTGGAATACACCACTTTGAAAGCCACTGCTGATCTGCTCCAGTGTTCAGCTAGTATGCTGCAGTGTCCATTCACACTTTAGACATGGTTATGTGTATCCTGATAAAAGGCATCTTGCCACCCAGTCCCTGCAGCGTGGCAAATATTTGCCCACCTTCACTCATAGCCAGGTAATCCCGGAAACAAAGTTGATAAATAATGAAGTTTGAGCCCCACCCTGGCTCAGGACTGTGCTGAATTGCTTCCTCAGCACACTTGTGTGTCAGTCTGCCATGGGAAAGGGACCTCACCCTTGTGCAGGTGAAAGATTGGACACACACACAATGACTTTGACTTCTTTTTTCAAGGATATTTTTTCATTCTCAATAGCCTTTGGACTGTTGCCTGAGCAGGGGAAGTGCTTGCTGAATTGGCTTGGGTAGTTGATAGCTGTTCCCTAATAGCACCAATAAAGAGGGAAAGGTTTTTCCTGATCTGGTTTACAAGGGCTCCAGCAGCACCAGGAGAGTATGGCATATGTCATCCACTGTGCAATAAAAGAGCCATTTGCTGATGAGGTAATCAGGATTGAACTACTGAGTTTTAATTTCTTTAATTGAATTTGCTTGTGGAAAATTAAGAGCAGGCAATCAAAAATTCATAAAGTGCTGAGATCAAACAGAGGAAAAAGCAAGCAGATTTATGTCAAATCTTACCAACAAGAAATGTCTTGATGAATTTCTTTACTGAAGAAAGGAAACTTTCTCACATTAAGGTGAATTATGACTTCCATCAATATTCTGATAAAAGGAATAAAATATTCCTGAAGAGCTTTCTGATTAAACTTCTCAAGATGAAAGTTGAAGCTCTATTTATGTAGGTTCTTGTTAGTGGTTGGGTTTTATGAAATGAGGAAAGAAATAATGAATAGGATACTTTAAACAAATGATACATTTCACTTTTACTGTCCAGGAAATCAGGTATTTTAAAATATTTATGGTTTAATTTTCATTTAGCACCAGTGCATATTATTCAGCTAAGTCAACTGTCCTTGGCTGCTGCTCAGTTGTGTACAGGGTGAATAGAGAAGGGTTTATCTGAGCAGTGTGCTCTGAGTTACGGGAAATTAATTTGCAGGGTGGAGATGAAAAATGTGATACCTCTTAAATAAATTTCAATGCTTCAAAAATAATAGAAAGGGAAAAGAGAGAGTTCTGTGGCTCTAACACAGACTACTATTAATAAAAACATTGGTCAGGGATTTTCCAAGTCATGGTCAGTTGAGGAAACCTGCAATGAGCCACAGTGGGGGAGATTTTATTTGCTTTTATTGTGATGGAAGGCTGTCATGCTGAGCAAAGGAAACCCTCCCTGGCAGCTGGTGCTTGCTCAGGCCTCAATTTTCTGCCTGAATTTGGAGGCAGTGATGCCTCCTGGAGCTGGGGCTCAGGAGAGACTTGTGATTCTTGCTCTGGAAGGGAAGGAACAGGTTCTCTCTCCCAGCAGAGTTCTTCACTTGAGCTGCCATCAGGGAGATGAAGGCTGCAGGTATGTGGTGGGAGAACCTGTGGGTATCACTGGCCAGGAGCTCCATTACTGACAGCCTCACGCTCTGCAGGAGGCACTTGTTTCCTCTTGCCTCACCCTGCTCTGTGCTCTGGAAGGTAAGTGGGTTCCTGACCCAATAAATTAATTGCTTTTTAAATCTTATTCCTGTGGCAATTTTCTGTCATTTTAGCATGCTGAGCTGGTTCACTGTGCTGCCAGACCAGTGCCAGGGATAAGTGATGGGAATGTTGAGGGCAGAGTTGGGGCTGTTCTAACAACAAACTGTTAATTTGGTTTCTTGTAGCATTGTGAAAGGTGTCCCTGCCCATGGCAGGGGCATTGGAACTAGGTGATCTTTATGACCCTTTCCAGCCCAAAGCATACTGGGATTATGTGATTCTAAAGCTGTTTCTAAGCTGTCTCATAAAGCCAAGCCAAAGATGAGCATTTTACACTGTAGAGCTCAGGTGAGCGATGGTCACTACAGTCACAGAGTAATGATTTTTGTTGCTGAGAGGCCAAGCCAGACTGAGGATGTGGAGTCTCTTTTGGTTTTGGTTGGGTTTTTTTGTGATGATTTTCTTGCAAGGAAATCCCTGAGTGGACTCACTGGGG